CTTTCGGTTTGAATCCATTGCCCCTTGTCCTGTCACTATATGCCCTTGTAAAAAGTCCCTCTCCAGCTTTCCTGTAGGCCCCCTTTAGGTACTGGAAAGCTGCTATAAGATCGCCCCGGAGCCTTCTCTTCTCCAGGCTGAACAGCCCCAACGCTCTCAGCCTGTGAGAAGACACCTCTCCCACTACCATGGGTGTTTTTTCTGTAATGCAAGCACTAGAAGTCTGATTCTGACCATAAGCTTGTGCGTTTTGCGTCCAGTGCCTTCCACCCAGCTGAATGACAAGCTTATGCTTACAGAGCTATTGCAGTATCAGCGTAGAATTCAGCATCAAGGAAAGACATTGAGTGGGTAATGAAAGGCAGGGAAGTTAGAAACCGAAAGCACAGGAACAAGAATTAATTTGAAATAGTTACCTCTTTGAGGCAGCCCATGAAGTTGTTGCTTACTGGAGAGCCAGGTAAGTCAGCAGTACTCGGGCTCCCTCCCACGTAAAAGAAGTCATCCGAGCCCAGCATGGTGTAGTCCTCCTGTGTGTAGCCCGTGGTGGTAAGGATGCCATCCACAGAGATTGTCACCTGTTCAAGGGACACAATGGACAGAGAAAATCCCAGCAATGACCTTACAATCCTGAGAAGAACAAGTTACCTTCCCTATATTTTTATGTCAGTTTTATTAAGGATTTTGTTGAGATTTGGTATGTATTTTTTTAGTTCAGCCAAGCTCCATTTTCTGGTCTGCTTCACCCACACTGGAAATGCTCCAGCATCTGCTTCTCCCCTTTCTGGTGTATCAGCACTGTCAGGCTGACCCAGCAGTCTACCCATCAAGATGCTTTCTGTCTATTCAGGCCAGAAAATGGAACTGTCCTTGAAAGAGATTTCTCATATTAGCTGATTTTATGATTAATTAGTATTTATCTTAATGATTACAGTTAGTTATGGTTGTTAGTAAAAAAAAAACAAAACAAAACACTAATGAAGACGAGGTTGGTATTTTTTATTTTTTATGTTTCTTTTGCTCACGGCACACTGACAATCATGCATTCGGGGGTGGGAGGGAGGGATCTCACTTTCAATATGTTATGGATGTGCATGCCATGTACCTAGAGAGACACACACCCACCACCCAAAAAAAATATAAAAAAATTGTATATTACAAACTAATTCATAACCAAAATATAAATAGGAAATAAATCAAAACAAAATAAATCTAAATAAACCAACCACACACCAACAAGTGTGAGAGAAGCAGAGATGAGAAAGAAAGAAAACACAAAGCGTGCACACACTGCAATTTGACATGTCATGCCAATATATCTGGAGCCCAGAAAGATGACAGGAAAAAAAGAAAAAAAAAAAGAGAGAGGCAGAAGGAGAGAGAAAAATATTTCACACTTGCATGCAATCAAAAATAAAAATACCAAACAAATTCCATAATAACAAAAAAAAACTCAAAACCAAACAGAAATGTCCCCAAAACCTCTAACCCCAAACACGTGGAGGGTGAAGGGGGACAGAAGCAGAGGGAGGGAGAAGAGCAAGTGAATTCAACGTGTTTTGCTTAGATGTTGTTAGTGGTTTAAAGGGAAGATGGAGGAAAATAGATCAAGGCCAGGAGGAGATAGGCGAGTCACCAGACGTGGACATGCCATGCAGAGTGTGTACTGAAACAAACAACCGGCTGAGCTCCTGTCGGCCACGGCAGGTAGAGGTTAGAGAGAGAGAACGTGAGAGAGAGCAAGAGGGAGGAAGAGGAGAGAAAGAGAAGGGAGGGAAGTGGGGGAAAATCAGGAGAAAGAGGACAACTCTGGCCAGTTTGCCTGTAATAGCCGTTGCCACAACAAAAGGATGAGATAAAGAGAGCCTTCACCACCACGGACTAGAGGCCCTGCAATGGTTCTGATCTAGAAACCTTCAGAGTTTTTTACTCCCACCAAAAGGGGAGAAAAAAGCAAAATGAAAACCAAAGCAAAAGAGAGAAAGCTAAACTCAAAAGCAAGGGACAAAAAAACTCAACAATTAATCACTGGCATGGAAAAGAACTGAAGAGGGAGATGAAGAAACCAATGAAAGAAATGTCCAAACCCCATTTCCAGAAGAGTTGTGTTAGTTGCTTTTGTTGCTCACTTTTCCAGAAAAAAAAAAGAAAAGAAAAAAAAGGGAAAGGGGGGAGAAAAAAAAATTGTTTTCAACAAAATTAAAATAAAATTAAAGGAAGAAGTAAGTATACAGGAGGGGGGAAAAAGAGAGGGTAGGGGAAGGAAAAGGCAGGTAACACACGGCAAACCCAAAAAAAGAGACAATAAGAATGATATCTACCAGACAATGTAGTTTGTTTACCATAGCGTGTCCAATGCCTGAGTGCTTTGCGGAAAAGGGGGAAGAAAGGAAATTAAAAAATCGTGAACAGAACGATTGTTAATTAAAATAACTAAAAGCAAAGATGAGTCGTTAGGGTGTTAGTACATTAGTTGGTTAGTAAAAATGACACATCGCATGAATGGTCTAGTGTTAGTCTTTCAAAAAAAGGCATGGGGCACCTGAGACACACAAAGTGAGAAAGAGGACAATATGACCAGGACTCTGTGGGGAACCATGCCATCTAGACTGTAAAGAAGGGTGCTGCCTAGTCTTCCCACCCTGGTATTAGTCATTAACTTCAACCCTCATATACATTATCCAGGACTGAATCAAAGTTAAAACAGTGCAATACTTACTCTTCAAATGCCCATGAAGGTGCTTCCCTCAAACAAGAACCTTACCCTCAGATATGTACACGCATAGTACACAGTTCGCCCCTTCAAACCCAA